TGACCGAATTACATCCATATTTTTGCAATGAAATATACTGTTGACATGCAAAACATTTATTAAAACGTTGCACATTTCTACAATCAATCGATAAGATAACACAAGTGATAGGATTCTTTCCAATGTACAGTAATTCGTATGTTTATTTCACAACAAACACACATACACAAATGATCCTTACATAACCAATACGTATACTATACGTACACATATTCAACATTTTGAAGAAAAAATCTATTGAGATGACCCCTCGCCCGAGAGCGTGCTCAGGTGTCAATTTCACCTGTCGATACCGTGCATGCTGATGACGTAACACAGGCAGTTAATGGTTGTATCAAATAACGTCCCACTACCCCTTATTTTTCTAAGTTTTTGGGATTTTCATCAGTAAAAACGCCTTTTAGGGCATGTCTCAAAATTTATTCCCTCGGTCTACATTAGGTAGATGTTTCTTAAAGTGATATTTGTTATTTAAGTAACTGTAATACCTCTGAATTTTAAATATGTCAAAAAGCATTTTTCTAGCATTTCCGACAGTACTTTAGTACTACTTCTGTCGAAAACTATTGCACAAAATTACACTAGTAAAATCTTCAGTGGTGTATCTTATGACATTGATGTTGTTTCCATCTCCTGAACCACAATGCCAATGTGTTCAATAAATGACAGACCTTGTTGAAAAAACCTTAGCAGCTATTTGTGTGGGTTGTTTCAGCAGGGAATTCCTGCATCCTATAGGCATAAAAATTGACAATGGACGCAACGAAATTTATTAGTGCATCCACAGGGAAAAAAAGGTCCAAATACTTTTTGTAAAAATTCCAATCAAGTAACAATATGTTATCACTGAGTTTGCAACTAGCTGGGTTATGGCATCATTTGCACTTTAATTACTGTAACAATGTAACTGTATCACAATACAATATTAGTACTAATAATATTATTTAAGTGTCTAGGACCCCCATTTTGTAGTCCAGGACCCCAGAAAATTAAGAATATGAGTCCCAGGGACCGTCAAATACAGGACTCGAGGTAAATCCCTGTGTCAGATATGACGTTTAAGATGTTTAATAGTTTAGATAATATTATATTATAAACATTATGTTTCTTACACTGTACTTTTGTCATACCACTAAGTCTTAATAATTTGTTGTGGTGTTTCTAAAATTTGTATGATCATGCGTTTATAAACTATATTTTCTCCTTGGTGTTCCACAAATTGTTTGCTTGATTATGCAATAGGTAAATTATTGTATTTAATTGACCTTATTGTGATAGGAATCACTTTCTGATCCTCATTCTCAGATAACAATTAACATATGTCTGTAGACTCAAACACATAATCATCATCTTGACTGGTGGTTAATAAAACTCTGGCCATGTTCATTGTGAAATGTGTAAGTCCATGTATGTTATATAGATTTGTGAACCTCAAAAATACAAAAGTTGGCAAAGATGCAAGATAAGTTTCATCAAAGTTACATATGCCCATTAGGAGAATATTTTCAAAAGAAAAAATCTAAACACTGAATAATTTTAAGAATGAATGAAGAAAGAATAATTTATTTTTAGTTCCAGACAGATTTAGAAGGCAAGAACTCGCTCAGTGTACGCGGTGCACCAAACTCTGATCATGTTGTAGCACTGCATGTGGATTTTCGCATTAACTCAATAAATAAAATACATAAATTTCAGAGTGTTAACGATTGAACTGACAGAGAAAAAGATCTTCATTTTCCGTTTATACTTGCATCTCACATTCCACTGAGAAGAATGACATGCCTCTTTGAAACAGTGAGGTGTCACTTTGTAAAGGTACTGGTTTGAGCTCTGAGTAGAAGTAGCCTCCCAACTATGTACACGGATTCAATAATCGCATAGGTGTTACTGTTTAAGAGCACTTACGGGAGATTGACATACAATGTGTGTTACTGAATACTGATCACAGACGGAGAAGACACTATGTATTCCATACCCTATGATACCATCTTTATCAATGCTAATAATAGATATTGCAGTCAAAATTTATACCTACAGCTCTGTCCAAATTGATATGCTACAGCGTATTTCTTGATTCATTTTAATTGATATAAATTTTCAGCCTTTTTCTCAAATGTTTCAAAACTGGAACTTGTGTTGCCCTCAAGTAAATCACACCTAGTAAGCTTTGTAAGTTTCTTACTTCTGAAAGTGAATGTTTTTATGCCAATATGAATGCAGCCATTTTCCTTCCCAAATAACAACACCGAAATGCCATTTACTAAAGTATTTCGCCAGTTGAAATTTTTTTTCAAACTGTATGTAGATAATCATTTAATATTTAATCATCTATCATATTTATAAGCGTATTGTTCCAAATGTATGTAGAATACGTACTGGTAACAGTCATAGTTGGCCTGTTGTCAGAATCAAACAAGGTCAGGCTGCTGATATTATAGTCCATGTAGGTTCATGGCTGCAGGTTTCCTCTGAATCTCTCAAATAGTTTTACAACTGAGGTATTCAAACTCCTTGCCTTCAGACATGACCTATACCACTGATACATTTCATTGTGTACTCATAGATTACTCACGAACATATTGCTTTGGGGAATATATGACAGCATAAGTAGATTGCAGAAATGCCAGCATAAGTTGAGGCTATTAAGATAATCAATATAATTGGGTTTGAAATTTGCAATTCCTAAAATTATGAGTTATCATTTTGTGCATTGATTAATGGCATGGTTTTGATGACAAAACATTATCTTGAGCAAAGCATTATATGACCTAAACTCCTCAGATTGTGTAATCGGTTCATGAGCCTGAAACAAGCCATTGTTATTTAATATGTGAAGATGCATATAAATAGCTCAACACAAAGTCATAAATATATGGGACAGAATAGGAATTTTGTATCTCATAATCACACAGCATTATTTGATACAAACATGGAACATTAGAGCCTTCTTAGATGTGTTTTCTTTGCATTCCTAGAACTGACCAAAATGACCATATTCTTGTTAAAGCTACATTTTTCAAAACTCAAACGGTCTTGTTTCAATTAACAAAAAGTAATTCACGTTTTCTCTCTTCTTCACCTTTCTATCAGATTCACCGAGCAAAACAAAAGTCCACAATCACTACATAGTTGTATAGTTTGTAGACATCAGTGGATCTTTAACATACAAAGATACTTCGCATAAAAATTAGTGTAGCTAGGGATATGTGCATGCAATGTTCCTGGGGACCCATTCCAGTCAGTCATTGTAGTCCTTTTGTGAATCTGAGAGATTTACAAACTTAAAACTGTGCCTAACCAACCTAGCTTATTGTGTGGTAAGGATTAATAATCTAAAAGAAAGACAGTACTACATCTACCATGTTGTGGACAGTCTGTAAGCATTACACTGTTTTGGAAGTTGTCTTACCCACGGTCATGACAACATAAGTGTTAAACCACATGCCAAGAGCGCATGAGAGGGAGCTGTACATTCATATAAATTTCCAAGGGACAGAACTCTGTAAAGCACACTGCACTTCTATCAACTGATTAATCGGTTACTAGAAACCGGTGAGTTACCAAGGATTCTGAACTAAGTGCCAAACGTAGGCAATCTGGGAACAAAATTGCTATTGTGCAGAAATTGGTCAGTGAAAACATTGTCACCTCAACAAGCCATACCTTTAGTTATTAGGGACTGTTCATAATTTATGGCAGGGGTGGGTGGTGGTGTGATGATGTTTATGGAGAAGCATGTACAATGTGAATGACACCCCCTAAAATTTATGTACAAAGTAAGTGACCCCTCCTGCATGTCATCTACAAAATCAATCACCCCCCCCTCCCCTTCAAACCTGAAATTGAATGGTTCCTGCTTGCTCAAGAGACGCAACTCTGCACAGCGCCATTTGGGCCTCTCTGCTCTCAGAACAAATACAAAGTTATAAATCTAAAGAATAATAATTCCAGACAAGAGTATTCAAACTTGACAAAATATTCATCACATAATGATAGGGCTGTAACGATGCATCGAACTATCGATGGATTGCAATTGTTGAATCTCGGATAGCAGTTATTTGATGGTAGAAATGAAAAACTATTGATGCATCGATTGTGTGGGAGACTATCGATAGTTTTTTATGACTTTATTTTTGTTAAACATTTTTTTTTTTTTGGGTATTTTTTGTTTGGGTGCAGACCCTGCAGCTTCATTGAGTTTATGTTTTAACTGTTTACTTGATCGGGGTTTCAAGTTTGTCAGTTATTATGAGAGACTGAAACCACTTCAACTTGCTTTTATTCCATATAAACTATACATACATTTGAGAATTGACTTCAAATGAGACAACTAAAGGAGAGAAAAAACTATTAGTTGGTCACAATAGACTATCACTATCGCAATAGTTGTTTCCCTCTCAGTAGTCACCCCTACATAATGATGTGTGCAAAATGTCGTCTATGGTTACCAAGGAAACTTGTCTCCAACTTGGAGTTGAAAGGATCAAACAAGGGCCACAACCCTGTATATTAACAATACTTGATACTAGTTTTTAATGTCCAACATGTTTATCGTTTAATCATAAATGCAAATTGTCATCCTTGTATCATTAACTGACTCTGAGAAAAGCTGTTCCTTTTGGGAACTGTGGACAATTTCTAAACACATCAAGCTACTCCCTTAATGATGTATACAATTGGCAATTCTAACTATAAATTGTATCCATAGATGTTTGTGAAAATAACATGCCCATTGAGAGTCCTTTGCACCTTGTTCAAAGGATCACACAATGGCCATAGCTGTCTTAAACATCTTTGACGCTGGCTTCAAACTTGATCAAATTATTTATCACAAGAATATTTTGAAAACTTTAATCCTTGTTTTTAAAATAATTGTCATTGAAATCAGCCTGGTTAAGCCCAAACCTATGTCCATCTCTCAGATCTATTGCAAATGATTTTAAGAGATTCAAGCAGACTCCGACATTAGTGGTACATACTGAACAACACGAACACCCTCCTAGATTTTATCATTTTTAATTCACCTAAGAAAAGGTTCCATGAATAATTACAAACTGATGGAACATCGAAAGTTTGGATCCTGATGGCAGATGTCTAGCAGTCCGATCAACACACACAGTCTCAATGATGCACTATACAGAGCCCTCATAGTGGACAGCACCTGGTATATAGTAACCGACGATGTTTCTCTTGCCAATGATTTCGCCAATGTAGAAACACATAAGTACCTCCAGACCCACTAATGTGTTTAGACCTGCTTGCTGCAATGAAAGAAAAAATGAGTCAATCCTTTTGATATCTGAAGTTCAGCTATTAAATGGCTTGTCAATACTAGCCCCACACTGCAGTACAATGGAATTCTGGTGCATCTTGTACACTTAAATACAGTGTAGGAAAGATAGCCCGTCCCAACCTCCGACACGGGTAAATATTGTGGAGGACAGGTTAAAAAAAAAAATATCTAGTCCGTCCTCATGTCGGGTCAGTTTTAGCAAACCAATGACATATATATACTAGCCACATAAAGAAACTGGGCATCGTCAAAATATTATCCCAGTTGATAAGTACGATAACAATATCAAAGGTTCATATAAACTTTAATGGAGGGATCATGAGACCATGACAAGTCGGGAGAATTTCAATTGAAAAGTCAATCACAATGACATCACGAGTCCACAGCGGGACAGGGGTCAAATGACCATGTCACAAGCTCAATAACGGGTCTGTCCACCATCGACATTGAGAACAGCAGTGCATCGACGACGCATAGAGCCTATCAGACGTGCAAGGAAGGCTTGTGGAACGTCACGCCAGATTCTCTCAAGTTCTGTTGCAAGGTCAAGGACGTTATCTGGCGGATGAGGAAGATGGTGTAGACGTCGATCCATCTCGTCCCAAACATGCTCTATCGGGGAGAGATCCGGTGAATTTGCAGGCCAAGGCAGTAAGTCAACGTTGTGGTGTTGCAAGAAATCCATAGCAACCCTTGCCGTATGAGGGCGGGCATTGTCCTGTTGGAATGTTAACCCAGGGCCATGATGTTGCAGAAAAGGAATTGCCACAGGTCGAAGAATCTGATCCCTGTAGCCCACACCAGGTAAGTTGCCCTGAACAATCACCAAAGGAGTTCTTTGGCGTGCTGTTATTCCACCCCAACTCATCACGGAACCACCACCAAAGCGATTCCTCTCCAAGACACAGGCCTGTGCATAACGTTCTCCCACGCGTCTATAGGCACGTTGACGTCCATCACTATGGGAAATGTTAAACCTGGACTCATCTGTAAAAACAACATTTCTCCACACCAAAACAAGGGTCTGCGGACATGATTTCGGCACCACATTCGGCGAGCTTGTCGATGACGTTGTGTCAGGATAGGCCGTATGGCGGGGCGTGTCGTGGTCTGATCCCATGATGACGTAAATGTTGTCGAACTGTGTTAGGATGATGGATACGGCGAAGTCCTGGGATGGTTCGGGCAGTCATCACTGCAGTCTGAAACCTGTGGCGAAGATGGGTCACCCTTATCCATCTGTCCTGTCTTGGCGTTGTTACACGTGGACATTCAGAACGTGGCCGATTGATGACGTCATTTGTGTTCTGTTAGCGTCTCACCAGTGCAGAAATGGTGTTCCGGTGGCAGTGGAAATGTGCAGCCACTTGTCGTTGAGACATTCCCCCACGGACCATCCCATTGGCCTCATGACGTTGTGCAGGCGTGAGCCTTGGCATGCTATCGCGTTTCAATAGCCATTTAATTTTTGAACGATCGCAATGGCAGGGGTTGAGCTTTCCAAAGTGACAGTATTGTGTGGCATTCATTTGCTCTGTTTCTCTTTCCCGGAATGCACGTGCAACAACGTATTGCACGTCTCAAGGACGAACCCACTGACGTCATGGAACGTGGCACGTGCATACATGTTGGATACATGTCACTAATCTCTGAGTTTAAATCCTTATGTGTCTACACAGGTTTGATAAATTTAGATTTTAAATTTTTGGATGCACAGTTTCTTTATGTGCCTAGTATATATATATATATATATATATATAATGATTATAACCTTTTTGAATATTTACTGCCAAAGGATACTAGAATAATCATGTGTGTCATATTAAATGATAGCTTAAAATAAAACAATCCAGTTTTAAGTCTTGAAATGGTGTTATATTTATATTTGGAGGACAGGCTAGATTTTCTACATCTTTCCTACACTGTTAAATATGAACATGATGAACATGAAAATGTACAGCAGTCTCAATCTTACTTTACAGTACACCAGTAATCTTTTGGAATAAAAAAATGAGAAACTAAATAATCCAACATTTATCCTGTTGTGCCAAGATTAATGATACATGAGTACATTTTAGAACTTTTGGTACCCTGATGATATTACCCACCCTAACTGTGAGTTGCTTCCACTTCCCTGTGCGTGCAGACACAATAATGTTGTTGATTCCCTCCTGCACCTGACCCATCTCGCCCAATGATGGGGGCTTCAACTCAACCTTGGCATACTTCCAGAATGTCTGTAGGCGTGGGATGGCATAGGCTTGAAGACCTAATCAATAAACAGCAAAATAAAGTTAAATTACAACTTGGAGGATAAACTATATTGACAGCACTACTGGCAAACACAGAGGTGTTTAACTTATGCAAGAATCAATTTGGTGCAATGCCTTCAATGACCAATTTCACTGAAGAATGAGGACTTGGTTGAAAATCTTTGCAGAGCACAACTTACATGTGACTATTAACAGCCTCAATTGTCACATGTGTCACTGAACCACTATATAGTACAAAGTGTACTGCTATTCATTTTCTGTCGTGTTGGTGTTGTGATACTAATGTTACTGCTTGACAAGTGAAACAACACTGCAAATGATGAAATTAATGCATCAAGAAAATAATGTGATGAGTACCAAAACAAAATTGTGTCACTGTCAGTGTGAGGCACTAAACTTTTAATTTCAATTCAGACAGGATAATACTACTGTAAGTCTGATAACATACATCAGTATCACAGTGAATACTGTTAAGCATTTATTACCAGTGTTTCTGGCAAGAAGCAAATTAGTACCATTTCACTATAATATAGTGTTTTGACAATCTGAATAGCAAAATGCATAATATAACATGCTGTGTTTTATTTCCTTAGGTTCCCCTTTTCACTTTAAAATCCTTTGGGTCAGAGAGCATGGTAGAATTTTGTGCATTATTGTCTTTATTACAAGTGTAAAGATAACCTGTACCAAACGTAATGTCATTACTAGGCACTGATTCTGAATTTCATGACCTTGTCAGTTGGTCTTGAACTGCTTGAATGATGTGCTGTGCTGTTCACAGTGGCTACTGTTGAATTCACGTAACGCACGTCCTCAAGCCATATTCATCAACTGGTCAAATATTGTTCTTCGTCTTCGGCAAACGTTATTCATAGAATAAACTTGCATCAATTTACCTGGCGTACAAACCCCGAGGATTGTTAAGAGATGTTTGATACGGGAGGTACCTGAACCTAAGGATCATACAAGTGAAACTGCACTCTTGTCCCACCATCTATTTTGCGTCCACATTATGGCTGTTTACATTCCAATCCTACATGATTTCACAAAACCAACTTTTACCAAGGTCAAGTCAATACCACAGGGGATTCAGCAAGCTGTCAGTAAAATGAGGGCATCGTATACACACTATTTGGAGTTCAAATAACCGCGATAGACTACAATGTTTCTGTATAGTCACCCTTAGCTGAGTTCCCTGTCTTTGTGACAAGGGACATGCCCATTCGAGACACAGCTCCTGCCGCTTTCGCCATCTTGAATCGAGGCCCGAAACGCTTTCAACACGTCCCGGAGGTGTCTCCTATATCTCGGATATGCTTGAGCCGAGTGCAACAACCTCGCTGCCTTCACGATGTATTCCGAATGAATGCCGCTTGGTAATCTAAGGGGCATAACTCTCTTGAACTACACGTTCTTGCTTTTTCAGCGTACGAAAACGCGTAAGAAATTCGCTTGTTCTAGTGTGAAAATATAATTTTACCCCGCGTGATTTTATTGTACGTTTTTCATCACGTAAAACTAAATGAATAAGCATTTCAAAAACATTAAAACTATGTCCTCTTGATCTAACTACGAAAATATTACGTTCAAACGATAGAGAATCGATTACTAAATTTGTAATATTCGCGTGTCGCGTAATAGATTTGTAAGGAGTACTATTAAATCGAATGAGGTGATATCAACATTTGTTTTCTATTATCAATACATGACTTATTGACATCGTGAAATAGGGAATAAAGAAGTAAAACGACGCTTAAAGCCACGATGAAATTTGTTTCTAGTTAATTACGTGGGCGAAAGATGACTATCAGCAAAATACAGGTAATTGTTACATCTATATATGCATAAGCGGATCCAGAGGGGGATATGCAGGGGTTCTTTGTGTATTATTCATACTCACTCACTATAAGCGGGGTTTATACTACTCACTGGTCTGTCATACAGACCCCGAAGCAAATATATACAAGAAATCCCACGCAAGTCTAGAAAATGTGTCAAGTCTAGTCTGAAAATGAAGAAAGTCTCAGGGCTTCTTTTTATTATATTTTGACTTTTTTCACTATGAGCCTTTTTTCTGTAAAATATGTTCATTTCAGAGACTAGTTGTTAGTCTAACTACTCATGCATTCATTTCACTACCAACTGCAGGTTCGGTTTGTACTTCACACGTATACAATACACCTCTCATTATCATCACTGCAGATTATACGCATGACCGTAATGAACTCACCCTCTATATTACCACTGATCACGTGGCATTGATAAGTATTTGACCCCGACATTCATAAAAAGTGTACTCTGTGTATACTACCACGTTTGCATCATGGTTTTCAGTGTATGTGTGTGTGTGTCATCCATTGTGATTCTATTGCTGTGTCCATATATATATTATTCCTTTTTATTCTTTGCTCCCATCGTAACCAAACTCATGTAGGCATGGTTGTCATGGCTTCTGACACAAAATGACCCTATCTGCCACTCGTTGTGATTCAACCTCCTGATACGGATTTATGAGATTGTAACTTCGCATTAAAACAAAACGAGCGTCAGAGAGGAATCGTATGTATCTGTCATTCTATCAGGTATAACTGCATCAAATGCCCCGACCTACATATAATACCATAATAACAAGGTGACAATCGCAGGGATGATATTTTGAATTTTCCCTCTGTGTTCATTAAATACCATGGGCGGATCCAGGAATTTTTAAAGGTGGGGGTTCAGGGGGTTCGTCAACGCAAAAAAATAATCTTCAATGTGATCTTAAGTCATTTTGAAATGGGGGTGGGGGGCATAAGTATTCCAGCACTTGTCCAGAGCAGAGTAACATAATCATCACAAAAAGTTAATCCAGTACTGCTTAAACGTAGTGGACCTCATATCTAACCTTGTTTTTAATATAGGCCATAAGCTTAGCGTAATCTTGTGTGGGGATGATAAATAACAGATCGAGACATTCACTGAAAACGTGATTCTTCCCATGAATGTACCGCTGTGCTGTATGGCCATTTATCGTACGGCGCTGGCTCGACAAACTTCAGCCAATCAGTGATCGTGTAAGGGCATTACGCGATTACAAGATGGCGGTAGTTCAGTTCGTTGGGTAGTCTGTAATTCTTCAGTACGAGGTTATACATCTGTTTGAAAGGTTGACAACTGACAAAATGTAAGTGTTACTGTTACAAAGACAGAAACGGAAGGTTTTACTAGACCTGTTGAGTTCCCCTGTCTGTGTGTTGATGGTAATGTAGGAGGAGGTTGACAGCTGATCGGTCTACAGGGGCCTGGTAGAGGTTGGATCATTTGTTACTGTTGCAATTGATGTTCGTTACGTTTTGTTTGTGTTTTGATAAATAGTACACATTTTGTAACATGACATATAAGCCTTGCTGCTCTGTTGTGTCAGGTTACTTATTGTTCAGGGGGCGAGGTTGTTTAAATGGCAGGAACTGCTATCGCCGACAGTTATGAAATATGTTCCGACCATTGACCAGGTGTATTTCATATGACCAGGTGGTGATTAAAGAAAGTTAAACAACAAGTTACTAGGTATCGTATCGTCTTTGATGATGCTGTGATTATTATCATAGATTACTTTGATGACCTGTTGACCGCATGCTATTTTAGTTTATAACCCTAAACAGTGACAGTACATTTACAATGACAGTATTGCGTAAGACGAGTGGTAATAATATTTACCTAGCAGCAACACTGGTCAAGCTTCCACAGTGATTTATGCCCGGAGTTAACAACCCATCCCAGAGTGGCCCCTGATCACTTTTAGTGTTACCACACTGGCCTCTCTAAATCCAGTCAGCTTAATTACCAACAGTGTAAAAAATCTTGGGGCAGATCTTGAAGGTACCATCCATGGAAACAGTATCGCTCTTGCACAGCCTTTGCAGGTTATCAACAGTAGCAAATACAAGAATTCTACTACTTTCTTGAACATTGTCTATGAGCAGAAAGTCATCACCAGAAAAAAGTCTCTGTCCATTCACCATCAAGCTGAATATCTGTTGCTGCTTGCTGTCTGTGGAACTTTCTTGGCACGTTGTATGTACAAACTCGACTTCACACTGTGTAAGAGTTTCAGATTTGTAGCAGCTTCTAGTAGTGTTGCGTCTGCTGAACCTGTCAATAGTTTCTTTCTTTCTTGTTCGTATATCTGTGGGATGCTGACGAATTCCTCTCTGGCTCTTTTCTTCACAGATGTTGTGATGACATATGCTAACAGCCTCAGCAGCCTCTTCTACTCACAGTAGCAGATTAACTCTTTGTTTTGACAACTAATAAGTTGTCCCACACTGACCCCCACGTTCACACCTTCTTAACGAGTTGTCCCGGAGTGGCCCCTGAATTTGGTTCAAATCTTTGAAGGGCATTTAGAAGTGGAATGCATAAGAAAAGCAAGATTTATGGATGTCAACACTTCTTTATTGTGAATAACACGACGTTTCGGAGCGTATGCTTGCTCCTTCATCACCTGATGTGTGAGTTGGATGTATGTTTTGTTTAAGTAGTCCAACTTTTGACCAATAGAAATTATAAGTAAGCAGTCACATACATGTATTTAATAACTTCATAATTATAAAGTAAATAGCAGCAATTAGTCCTACTTACATGATCACATTAGTAAAACAATGCACAGCCATAAAAAGTATTGTAAAATTTTTGAAATTCAGAGCAGGGTATGTCATTACCTTAAATTTTCAGTATCATAGGGAAATTTACAATTTTCCCTGTACTGTTACAGTTACAGCATGAGGATGCATTCCACAAGTACATTGTGGGTAGAGCAATGGGGTCACAGTTGGACGAACATTGGGGAGGTAGAGCAACAGGGTGGCTTTGTTTGACTGCAGTTTGTTGCCAGATGCCCTGTAGTGAGCAACATGTATCTGCGGTTATGAAACTTTTAGAGGATTGCTCATTCCTATGTTAAGAGACGGACATAATAAGGGCACAACATCTGCCTCGGACAACTTTGAGGCTGCTGACACAGTGGTTTGAATACGTTTAGGGCAAACCCACTGCATGAAAGATGGTTGGCATCACCTTGCCATATGTCTTTTTAATGTTCAAGGATGGACAAGTTTATAGAAAAACTTTCACCGATTGATATTATTGATATGGATGCAGCATCTTGACAGTATTGAAAGAATTAGAAAGATAAGATGATGGGAGGTAGGGGTGAAACGGTATACTGCGGTATTAGTAGAACCGCAGAATTTTGCCTTCGTTTCGGTATACCGTAATGCAGTAAAAAAAATATTTTTTATTTCGGTTTTCGAACCATCATTTTATTCACCTTTTTAAATCTTTTCTAAAATGTCTAGAAATAGAATCATTTTGTCAAAATGCGTTTCTTTTCTTATCTGCATTATGATCATATGTCATATATGCAAACGGACACGGACCGAACCGAAGGCTTTGTACCGCAATACGTACCATACCGTGGTAAGAGCGTACCCTTTCACCTCAAATGGGAGGTATTTTCAACAGCATCATGACCTCAACCTATTACGATGTAACATAAAACAAATTCACAGGATAAAGTACATCATCTTTTAATGGAATATACAGAGCAGGGCTCCAGATAAGGGCCGTATCGGCGTATGTACGGATACAAAATATGCACGATACGGTAGCAAATAATTTAGAAAACGTAGCAGGTACGCACCACAGCAATAGTGTACGGTCTTAGAATCATTTACAGACGTATTTATCTGAAAAAAATATTGGTTTATTGACCTGTTTACACAAGACTATCAATGTTGTGGTGCATATATGAAACGAAACACAAGATTACTGATACGCCATTAAATTCCACTCAGTACTCTAAATGTACTCTTAAGGTTTTCCAGTACTCCTGTAGTGAAAAATATGGAGTACGTACTCCTGATGTTGAAAAATTATCTGGAGCCCTGCAGAGAATATACAGATTACACGATTCTTCCTCGCTCTTGCAATACAAAATTTCATACTCGTTTCGTATAAGTTGTATGACACACTTGCTCAAGTGTAATAATTTCTTTATTACCCATTTTATTCATGTACATTAATGACGTCACAGACAATGAATCAAAAACAATGGCTGCGAGGCCAAAGTGATATGTGCACGTGTGCACATATATATACATTGTATATATATGACACTGGTTATCTTTCACCATATGGATAATAAAGTGCAATATGTTGATTTTGCCAATGCACAGCCCTAGATTGTATGTTGGACCTTCAAGCAAATGTTTGTCTAGTGTAATCAGATTACTATTGATGTTCACAGACTGATATTACTGCATCATGGATCTGGTTCTAAATGTGGCCGACCACTACTTCCTGACTCCCTATGTGTACCCCGAGACGTGGGCGGAGAATGACCCTGTACGTCAAGTCCTCAGTCTGCTCGCCATTGCCAATGTGGGGGGCTACCTGCTCTACCTGATTGTGGCATCATTCACCTATGTGTTTATATTTGACAAAAGACACTTGCAACATCCACAGATACTAAAGGTAAATCTTCTAAATGTTTCAACTATTTTAGATACTGTATATCGTGAAATTAATGCGTCACCAATTTAATGAGAGTGTGAGGGTCTAGTCTAAAAGTGTCACGAAATTAATGCGAGCTCAGGAATCTGTGTTGATGATAAAATGTGACACCCTGAATCTTTGGTGGTGTTCTTTTTTGTTTCACACTTGCTCTTTACACATCACCTGAATTGAGCTTGTTAAGCAATGAATGGAAATGAACTGAGGATGGTTTGATTACGGTGCCATGTTTGATCACGTGATTGCTTGCTACTACTTGTCTTATGACAACATGGATAAACGTAATCCGACTTGAAAGGCGCAAGTCATCTACCACTCGGGTACAACAAACAAGTGGCTGGAGAATGTCCAGTCTGGCTGATGTGCTTGAGTGACTTTAAACAATGACCAATGATTGTAACCAGTGATAATTACACGTGGTTTGAGATTCCTGTAATGAGGAAGTGACCTGTATTGATGTAATGTGTAGTGTCAACAGATTTACGTTTTCTGTCTTTTATTAAGTTCTCAAAAGTAGACATGGTCAGACTGAAATGCGACATTATAATAATGCGAGAAGTGTACAGACGCATTTTTCGCATTAATTTCATGATTTACAGTAGTCAGCATGTAGGTACCAAAGTGCAATTTCATTCATGATACCATTTTCCATTCATATCTATTTTTTTCAAAGCATGCATCTGCATCAAACATGTTCTGTTTACTCAGGGGTGATGGGGTAGCCTAGTGGTTAAGGCATCTGCTCGTCACGCTGAAGTCCCGGGTTCGATTTCCCAAATGGGTACAATGTGTAAAGCCCATTTTCTGGTTTCCACTGCTGTGAAATGGCTGGAATATTGCTAAAAGCTGCATAAAACCTCACTCACTCACTTCTGTTTACTAAAGTTTACAGGTAAATCTTAGTGTTGCATGTTTCCTTAGTGGTCAGTGGCATCACAGAAGTTCTGTGAAGACTCATGTCCCTTAGTGCAGCCAGGATACACTGATCACGGGCTATTACCATGACTCTGATCCTGGCTTTTGCATTTAACCAAAATAATATATTTCTTATATCACAATAGACCATGGCAAAGTTATTTTAATTCTGCTATTGAACAAGCAAACAATGTAGTGTTACTACTAGATATTCTATTTATTGTGCAAGGATATTGTTATTCAAGTGTCAAATATGCAGGTTTCCTGCCAAAAGGTGTCAGTGACTAGATATTTGGCTGATTTAAGTGTTCTGTTTGTTGTGTTTGATATGGTCCCTTGTCACTGAAACTGTTTGATACTGACATAGATTGAAACTTGTAAATTGTATATTGTTCCTTTTACTACTACCAGATTTCTCTTTGTATCTGGTAGTTGCTGTTTACACAAATAAAAAATTAGCTTGTAAAATATCATCTAGCTAGTCGGTAATGCTAGTATTTTTAAACATATATTTTCTAACACTGTCAGACAGAAACGTGTTTAAATTAGATACATTACTGCTTTGTACAGTATTCCGTGTTATATTTGTGTGAATGGTTACATCACTGTTTGTACAGTATTCAGTGTTATATTTGTCTGAATGGTTACATCACTGTTTGTACAGTATTCAGTGTTATATTTGTGTGAATGGTTACATCACTGTTTGTCCCCAGAACCAGGTGTTCCTGGAGATCCAGGTGGCCTGCACCTCCATCCCCTTCATGAGCGTCCCCACAGTCGCTCTCTTCTTCCTGGAGGTCCGAGGGTACAGCAAGCTGTATGACTCAGTGCAGGACACCAGGCTAGGTGAGGTGCTACGTCATACTTCCCTAACACCTTATCTCATCATCATTTATACTTTTGAAACTTGCTGTACTCAAGGCATATCAGAAGTTATGTCGTTTCTGATATCCAATCTGCACTCATTTCAGGTTACTTCTTAATGGTTAGGGGCGATGGGGTAGCCTAGTGGTTAAGGCGTTTGCTCATCACACTGAAGACCCGGGGTTCGATTTCCAAGATGGGCACAATGGGTGAAGCTCATTTCTGGTGTCCCCCGCCGTGATATTGCTGGAATATTGCTAAATGTGGCGTAAAACTAAACTCACTCACTCACTCTTAATGGTGAATAATAATATCAATAAAAGACATAAAATTATTTGTCAAACATAGTAAAATCGTTTCAGTCTTCTCCAACACATATGCACTATGTTAACACAAGATATGAAAATATAAAGTCTACCAGAAAAAACATCGTCATTTCACCTTTTAGCAGTCTTGGGCTATCAGAGTAGTGGTAACAAACCCTGGTTGAAAATGTTATGGAAACTACAACATTTATATTGGCATAATGTCTGTTCAAGACAAGCTTTGAGTGTTCAAACACAGCCTCAGTTATTGTGTAATGAGAGTGCAGAGTTGGCTGGGAGTGTTGAGTCTGTTCTCACACCGTCAGTGTTTGTCTAACGTCTGTTCCAGGTTGGATTGGAGTGTTCTCCAGTGTGATGACGTTTATCCTGTTCACGGACATGTGTATCTACTGGATCCACCGCTATCTGCACCACAAGTATGTGTACAAGTGGCTTCACAAGCTGCACCACAAGTGGAAGGTCCCCACCCCCTTCGCCAGCCACTCCTTCCACCCCCTGGACGGCTTCTTGCAGTCCCTACCCTACCACATCTATCCCTTCCTCTTCCCACTTCACAAAGTCACCTACCTTGGTCTCTTCATATTCGTCAACTTATGGACCGTGTCCATCCATGATGGAGACTACCGTGTTCCAAGGCTTCTTCGTCCGTTCATCAATGGGTCTGCACACCACATGGACCACCACTTGTTTTACCTGTACAACTATGGACAGTTCTTCACACTCTGGGACAAGATTGGGGGGTCCTTCCGCAGCCCCAGTGCATTAGAGGGCTGTGGCCCGCTGGACGAGGTCATGAAGATGCAGAAAATAAAAGACAGAGAAAATGGGACTGTTATGAATGGGAATGCCAAAAGTCAGAATGGCTACAACCTGCGTAGTCGAAAGAATAGTTAAATTATGTGATACAGACATGTGAAGATGGAAGGGAAAAGGGTTGTGAAATGATGTATCTCCTTTTATGTCCGGATTTTAATATGTTCATGTGACACGCAGTTTATTGTAGGTCCCTGTTACCAACTATGTGTACTGGGTAATGATCCCCACCTTGACCTGACCCTTGCCTACATTCACTGCTAATCTGACAGGAATGTTTGCCCACTTATGTCTTTTTGTGAGCTGTTGAGATGATCCTGTCAAGAGAGTTGTCTTTCCTGTTACCATGGCAACACTAAATACGCCCATCCTGGCATTAATATGTACTTATTTTCAGTACAAGTACCTTTTTAACATTTTAAAAACATTTTCTTGCTAGTTGCTTACGAACTGAAATAGTATTTTTAAAGTGAAAATGTTTTTTACACATCGTCAGATCATAGGTTTTCGGACATCATACATTTTCAGACATCATTGCTCACTTTGGGTGTCATGCGAGGTGTTGCGTCACTCAGAAATTGTAAATTCTACACTGATGGTTTGTGTTTAGGATAATGTTATCTGATAGTAACCTAGTGACATGTTTTACAATTGGTTATGCAATAATCAAAACAACAACGGATGCTCTTAACTGTCCGAAAACCTATAACATGAATATATATTTATGTGGATAGCATATGTAATAAGAAATTATAGTCTTTAATGGTTACTTTTGTCATTGATGTGATCACTGTAATAGTTAACATTGGAACATGTTTCATGTCTGTTTACCTCTTGAGATCAGAACAACAGTTCATGTCTATACAATAATGCATACAGAAACAATGCTATTTTTTTAAATACTGAAGATATCGCTAAAGGAGTGGTTTGACAGAGTAAGTCACACACTGTCAGTGTTTGTCCTCCTACTAGTAGTAGGAAATCATTAAAGAAAGGGTCAAATATTGTTTTATTTCTGACCAAAGAATATTGTAACAGTAAAGGAAAGAATTTGGATCAGAAGCAGTGAATATTTTTTTCAGATATTTAGTCTCCTTGTTTTCATGTTGTATGTTATGCTTGATTTAAGTGTTTAGCGATACTTGCAATATGTCAGCATTGTTGTTGTTGAAGCTATTTGTGATCTCACACGTATTTGTAATGTATTACTGGTTTATGTTGTCTTATTTCAGTATATGTCAGACCCTGTTTATGATCGCCATTCCAAAGATCACCATAGGCTGTGTGTTTGTGTAACTACGCTAAATTATTCACCATAACTCCATTAGTTTCTGTATCTTAACTCAAATAATCCTGAAAAGATGCAAATGGACTAGAGTATGTCAACACTGTGTGTGATTACTAAGTCTATCCATCCTGGCTGTGTGTCAGGATGTCTTCTCAGATACTTTTGTTCAGGTTTCATGTAAAGATGAACTTTCCTGTAGTGAATAATGCTCAAAGTGCTTATCAGTGGCTTCAAAGTTCTGAAGTTCTGTTAAATGAATATTCAGAACTAAACCAAGGTGGTGAAAACATTGAATGCACTAAGAGAAATATTAGTAGCCAGTGTAAGTAATAACATGAGAGTAAATGTTCAGGGACATGGAAGGTTACCTGAGCACCATTATTAACAGTGTACCTCATGACAACAGACATCCTGTTTCTCCTTGATGACATATCATTCAATTACCTTACCAGAGATACCAACCCATACGATTTTATTGTATTCGTTACGAAAATATAACACAAAAAAGCGTGATACGATAGCAGTCAAAATATACAAATTAAAAAAAATAAATACATTCAATTAAATTTTAAAATAGCATACGTACCATACACAATAAATTTCAACTACATTTTATTCAGTATCAAGACATATGGCTATATACTACTGATTTAGGTGAGTACAATCTTAATAACAAGTTCTTAGAATATCTCTCTCTATTTTTTATTAAATATGAAAATCCTTTTGAAAGGTTATTACTAATTTTTGCATCAGTCTTGGCCAAGATACTAACTGGGCTAAATTAGGGTTGGCAGCCCTGCCTTAGTAGTAGAAAGTCTAACAACCACTTGGACCTCAATACTGTAAACAGTGCCTTCCTATCTGACACCTGTGGTCTCCTTGAATGCAGGGTTCTCTTGTCCCTGGAGTAATTCAGAGTATCGGTCTTCTGAATGACTGAAGACTTATGTTTGCTTGTGGATATTTTTTAACAAAGTGATTAGTGTATGTGTGAAGTGAGCATTTATTAAGAACTTGTGTCAGAAACAAACTCATAGTTGTGCCAATTTTCACTCTGTGCATGTTGATATTTTCAACAATCAACTCTTTTAATTTATGCAGAAATAATGATGCCACTTATTTGCCTTGTATTCTTTGAAAACATTTCAAAATATGTAACTGTGCTATTTTAAGACACTATGTCGGCCACATAAACTAGAAGTGCTATGATTCTTGGCTCCATGTCATATAAGAATGTGTATGCATAGGCGGATCCAGAGGGGGGGTGCAGGGGTGTGCACCCCCCTTTGGTGCTGAAAGATTGTTAAATGACCATTGAAACTCGGGTGAAAATCAAATGTGCACCCCTCCTTTTCTCAATAGTGTGCACCCCCATTTTCTGAAAAAGCTGTATCCGCCCCTGGTTTGTGTACTGGGATTGATTACATTTCACCCTACTATGTATGAGGAACTGGCTTGGAGCATTGACTGATGACTACACAGGCAGTGATTGATTGGCTCTTACTACTGATGACATGAAATTATATAAAGTAAGATAACATCTTCATCAGACCCAGAATAATTTTGTCAGAATGTTCTTAATCACTAATACCAAATTTCAAGTATTACATATAATTTCTTGTTTTGCAGCAGGTGCAACCTGTTGTCTTGTGCAACCTGGTTATTACCTAAGGTTGCACAGTGCAAGTAGGTTTCATTTCCTTAAATCGAGCTCTGTACTGAATGAAACATCTCATCAATAGTTATCCCCATCCAAATATCAGTGATTTCTTGTGACACCTCAGACTGGAGGTTGATTACTGACAAGTCAGTTCATGGCTCATTTTAAATTGATCGAATTGTCAGTTTGATTTCTGTTCAAGATAAATTTCAGTTGATGAATTCATTAGCTAAGTAGATGTGGTATCAAGATATCTATGATCCACAATAATGGGAATCTGTTGTACAGACAAGTGACATCAGTATTACTGACAGATGCAGTTCTGCTGATGAAAGAAATCCTTTATATCTGTGATAATGAATTGTTATGATACTTTTCATCATACATGTCAATAAAAACTAGAATTATGAAAGAGTTTGTGTTGTTGACTGCTGTGCCATCTTTGACCAGTTCTACAGGAGAGACGGAGTCTCATAATTCATGTTTTGAATATGGTGCACCAACCACTTCCTTTGTAAATTCTTATAGAAATGATTCTTAAAAAATTTCATCCATAAAAAACATCCTTCAACTTTTTATTCCAAACATCTTTCTGTCTTTATTGTTAATTAAATGGTTGTTATATATATAAGACATAACATAGTTACTTTCTGAATGTATTTATAGAGTTGGGTACAGATTACACAAACTGTCTCTTTATACAAGCCTGCCCCCATCTATTTCCCAATGTGCCACACCCAGGGACTGTGTGGTGGACTGTGGCATTAGGACGCAAATCTAATGTTATCCTAAGTACACTACAATCATGATTTAAGCTCTCTTAATAGTGCCGCGATGTGATGCAATTGTTTACACACAAGGAAACGTGACTTAATTTGTGTTATTCGGTTATGCAATTGTTTTAGGATTTTACGGACGCGTTGTGCACTATATATCGAGTGTTTTCATTGCGTCACAAGGAGTCACGCGCATGAAAGCAATTCTTGTACTTGTGCACGTTTGCTTCACCTTAGGTCTGACAGGTGAAATGTGGTAATTTGTCCGTTGTTTTGTAAGGATGGAAACTATGCTGCTGTTTTATTCTTCATCTGAATTATTTGTTAAGTAGATGTCCATGACTACATGTTCGCTTTTATTGCCCATGAAGAGTGAGTGAGTGAGTTTAGTTCTACGCTGCACTCAGAAATATTCCAGCTGTATGGTGGCGGTCTGTAATTAATCGAGTCTGGACCAGACAATCCAGTGGTCAACAGCAATGAGCATCGATCTGCGCAATTGGAAACCGATGACGTTTCAACCAAGTCAGCGAAACTGACCACTTGGTCCCGTTAGTCGCCTCTTACAACAAGCATGGGTTACTGAAGATCAACATTCTAACCCGGACCTTCAAGGCCCCGGCCCAGGAAGAGTTAACAAGAGTTTCTGTATCTGTTGGAGTAATATGATATGACAAAAGCTTTATAAAAAGTTCATGTTAAGTTGGTATTCTGAGCTGATCGTCTACCAGAATTCTGAAATTGATTGGGGGCGGTGGGGTAGCCTGATGGCTAAAGTGATGGAAGACCCGGGTTCGATTCCCCACATGGGTACAATGTGTGAAGCTCATTTCTGGTGTCCCCCGCTGTGTTATTGCTGGAATATTGCTAAAAGCGGCGTAAAACCAAACTCACTCACTCAGTCACTCTGAAATTGATTGAAAACTGAAAGTCCGTTGATCGGGAACAGTTTCCCATCTGTAAATCAGTTTGAGTGTCAACTAATGCAAATTGTTAATTCTGCCTTACTTGAATACTGTGATCACTTGAATATACTTATGTATCCTGTGCTCATTTCAATAATGTTCGCATCACACCGAAGACCTGAGTTCGATTCCCCACTTGGGTACAATGTGTGAAGCCCATTTCTGGTGTCCCCCGCTGTGTTATTGCTGGATTATTGCTAAAAGCGGCGTAAAACCATACTCACTCACTCACTCAATAATGTTCGTTCACCGGCCATGAATAACGTGATGTGGGTCCAAAGTATATTGTTTGGTTGCTGGAGAAAATAACATGCATGCCTTTAAACAGTCTAGTCATCAGAACTCCAAGATACACCATTGCCCCAAGATATAGGTCACTTCATGAACGCCAGCTACACCAGGTGCACTTATGTCAAGGGACAACCACTAGTTCCGTGGAGCACTTAACAAGAGTCTTTAGACGAAAACAAATCAAGTTTTTCAGCTTCGTGTTTACAAATATTTTATACACGATAAAGGATCATAATGGACACCACATTTGTCATTTTAATGTTCCAAAACGTAAAAATATCTAAAGTACGCATACCGTCAGCATTAGAATAGATTTTGTGATTGGAAGACATGAATTTGTAACCTTCTGGAATGCAGATCTGGTTCCGTTCCTAAATTAACTTTGGTATCTCAGTACTACACATGTGTTCAATTAGTCAAAACAGACCAAAACAGATCATTTGTAACCATATACTACGGCAGCGCATTCGTGCCAAAGTCTAATTAACATATACATGGATGATAGTTAGATGTGTATAATATATTGTAATCTAGGAGGTATCACGTAGTATCGAATTGTCGACTGATTTCTTCACTTGTGATCATTACCACACAGGGACGTAGCTACCATTATAAAAATGCCCGGGCTTATATACTCTTGCCAGTAATGGTTGTCACACACACACACACACACACACACACACACACACACACACACACACACACACACACACACACACACACACACACACACACACTCTCTCTCTCTCTCACACACACACTCACACACACCAACACTCACACACACACTCACACACACCAACACTCACACACACCAACACTAACACTAACACTACTATCTAAATTTAAAGCTTTGCAATCTATCGGGCTACGCGCCTGACAGATTTTACGGGCGCATTATATGAAACAATATCGGGATGTGTATACTGTTGACTCAGTTTATACTGTCAGCTACATTGTAACATAGGCCATATGGCCCACATTACTAAATAAAATCTGTCTGTCTGAATTGTTGACTTTGTAACCCTATTAATCGACAACAGTTCAAGGTATGTTTTATGTAACCTATGATTCAGTTAATAATGACGTTTGTTGCAACTATATCCGGCTATGGTCCAACCATCGCAACACAATAGCACCATATCAATAACCATGCGCTCGGTTTTTATATCATGGCTCCTGGCTTCTACATAGATAAACGTACAATCTACGTACATGATGATATGCTATTGATAGGCTGTGACACCAGTACACGTCCACTGTACACAGCACATGTGGATCGTTACTGATGCCGGTCTGATCACTGTTTTGGTAAATACCAGCCGTATACATGTTCAGTTTTGTACAGGATGGAGGTTAAGATACTGGTATCTGCTTGTGCTGGCTCTCTACTTCCACATAGACAGTTCTGGTCGACGCTGTCAGTCTTATAGCATCACTCAGCGCCTGCAACACACGGACAAACTGTACTGCGAACGAACAAATGTACAAACAAATACATTGTACCTACGTTATATCAATACAATCGCAATAACAACTATTCTGAACAAAGTGTACTCTCTCTCTCTGTCTCTCATGCACTAACATACACTAATCTCTCTCTCTCTCCGATAGGCTACTCTAACATCTTATATACTCACCTCCCTTCTGCATAGAGATGCCAAGATTGTGTTGCAGTAAGATGGCGTCTGTACCAGACCAATACCTTCAGGGTACGCGCCATCGAAACTGTAGCCCATGAACTGTAGAGACCTACATACACGTAACAGCATTAACCCTCCAAACCCTAGAGCATGGAGTAACCACTGTGTCAAGTTGGGATCATACCCGATGACCATCACGCCCAGCAAAGCCCACAGCCCGTGCCAGTAACACACAGCACTGAAGCATACCAGCAAAACACAGGCGTCCTCGAACACTATCTGAAGGAGTGGGTGTGTCGTGTGTAGATGTCCGGCAAGCTTTCTGGCGGGAAACTGTGTGACGATCAGTGTAACTACCAGCACGTTACCGACACTGAAGACGATGATTCCCCGCCAGAGGTCGTTGTTGGGTGAAATGGAGAGTTGGAGAACCATCCACTGACCCCACCAGACCAGCACTACCAGCGTCGACACCACAGCCACACCGAAGAGCACGTGAATGACATACAGGACGCTGCCCTTCTGAAAATGAAAAGGGGATGGATAAACTCAAGAATCATGTGTGTGTGCGTGTATGTGCGTGCGTGCGTGCGTGCGTGCGTGCGTGCGTGTACCATACAAAACAAGCCTTAACTGTAGTTGTTTCACCTTTTTATAGTAATAGTATCTCGCCTTTTTTATCTTATTTAAGGGGACTTTAGGGACAATGTTCTAAACTGAATAACATACAACACAACACAACACAACACAACACAACACAACACAACACAACACAACGCAACACAACACAATACATCACTTCTAACATGCCTGCCTTTAAATTTGGTGCTATGACTTTTTTCTGCTTTTAAATGACAATGTAATGAATATATGTTTTTGAAATAATACTCATTCCGAGTATGCACTTACAATGTTTATTAATGCAAACTTGTTCTCGTCACTATATGGCTGGGATAATGCCGATGTGACGCAAAACCCAACTCAACAACAACTCTAACATATCCCTTCTCGACTTACCTTTGTTCCAAACAGATGGATGGTGAAATAGTTGTTGGTCTCAACGTCAAGAACCCAAGCTCCTGGTGGCGTCAAAACGTTCCTGTACGAACGAAGGGCAACCAGACCTACAGTACCGATAGCTAGAGTTGTCAGTGAGCCAGGCATTGTCATGCCGATGTACAGGTTGAGAAGTTCCCATATCCCTCGCCAGTTGCTCACCTGGCTAAACGACATGACGTAGGTAAAGAGGCGTGACACCAGGTAAAAGGACACGTACTTTTCTTTCTTGACATACTTGTTCAAAACGTCCTGTGTGAAAAATGACGCCACCATCAACACAATGCTTATTGCCACCGATATCCATCCGGACGCTATCTTGTTCTTGGCAAAAGATATAGTCCAATGAGGTTCCAGGTACTATTCCAGTAACATACAACCAATGGGCTGAAGATGAATAACACGAACAACGCATCCACAATGTGTTCTATAACGGTGGACACCATATTGAATACTGTTTTATAAAGACTGTTTCCTACAATAGGTATAATCAGGTTGTTGCTCTGTATTCCTCCAACACGGTGTTGTCAACATCAGATCGTCGTACACGACTTTCATACTTGATACAGTTGCAGAGTGCAATCCAAATCTGGACACAACGAAGTTAAGCATCAATAAATTGTTGTATTATACGGATATGTAACATATTGATGTACACAGTTCTGACAGTGTATTGATGATATTATTGGATATCTAATGTAGCTGTTATTGCCGCTTTCCTTTGTTGATATTCATATATGCGTTACTTGCACTACTCCCAGCTGTCGTCTGCTTCGCATTCAAGTTGGACAGGTGGACATTCTGATACAATGTTTCAACATGAACTGGGTAATTTTAACAACAGATTGCGCCTCTTTTTAAACATAAAACAATCATGTTGTGTCTCCTCATTCAGAAAGTCCTGTGTGAAATATGACGCCACCATCAATATAATGCTTATTGCCAATGATGTCAATGCGGATGCTATCTTGTTGCTTGGCAACAGATATAGTTCAGCGAGGTTCCAGGTACTATTCCAGTAACATACAACCAATGGGCTGAAGATAAACAACATAAACACCGAGTCCACAATGTGTTCATTGGTGCAAATCGACATCTTATATATCGTTTCTTACCATTACATGATACACGGTTTCTTCATGACAGCTTATCCCCATGTTCATATAATGTTGTCCTGCTTAGATCATCATTCAACTCAAGAAGTCTAACACACAGTGCTGACAAGGAAATGTCGTTTTAAAGTGGCTTTGTGGACGTTAAATATCACTCTCTCTCTCTCTCTGTATTGATACAGTCAATTTCAACTAAATTTTTCAACATGTCATATTCATGTTGTGCTCTTCTGGAGTTGTATACACGTGCACTGACAGCTGGCTTCTACACGTACAAGGTTACCAATAGTTTCTAATTTCACTGGCGAGATCGGACTGCTGTGCCGTGGTGGAGTAACTGATGTTGATAACTGGAGCACGTCTAACTCTGCAAAATAGACGATAATGGTTTCACATATGATTTGCTAGATTGAACATAACCGTGATAGCTAGGGTACAGGAGCTCACCTTTATTCCCAGATATTAAAACGTGTGTATGCTAAAGAATTGTGGCATTTAGGATAATGGTGCTTTAGGGTTGACATCGTGAATTCACAACGCATTTGGAAAGTGGTCAAATGTAACCATGAAGCAGGGCTCCAGATAATTTTTCAACATCAGGAGTATGTACTTCTTATTTGTTCAATATTGAGTACTGGAAAACCTTAAGGGTACATTTAGAGTACTGAATGGAAGCTAATGGACTATCAGTAATCTTGTGTTTCGTTTCATATATGCACCACAACATTGCTACTCTTGTGTAAACAGGTCAATAAACTATAAAACATACTTTTTTTCAGATAAATACGTCTGTAAATGATTCTAAGACCGTACACCATTGCTGTGGTGCGTATCTGCTACGTTTTCTAAATTATTTCCTACCGTATCGTGCATATTTTTTATCCGTACATACGCCGATACGGCCCTTATCTGGAGCCCTGCATCAAGAACAATCATTCAATATACCCATTTAAACTATGTGAGGCTATATCGAGTTGAATGAATATCCATTGTTATTGTCACTTGAAATCGTTACTGATGGCAAACGATATCTTTCTTCGGACATTCAACAGTTTCAACATAAAAAGTTACAAATCTTTTCCACATTCATAAGAAATTTCTGTCAAAAACGTCGATTGTGCAGTTGTGACTGTATCATGAGCAGATAATAATAATAATAGTGGGTATTTGTAACCGCGCCTATATCCGTGCATTCAATGCTCGTTCAAGGCGCTACAGCACACATATTATTACCCCGGATAACCCAAGCTGCCTGTTAGGGGCTAGAAGGTTATAGTCACATGACTTATCCCACCGGGTACCCATTTTCCTGCTCGGTGAACAGAGACAATGTTGAACAAACTCACTTGCCTAAGGTGAGACCACATGTGTCACATTTGCTTCGTTGTGGGGCAGGACTGAAGTCCTAGAAACTCTCAGGAGCCAAGCTGCCAAGCACGGTCACCCATCCAAGGACTCTCCGACCTCGACGTTGCTTAACTTCACCGATTTGTGACCTGAGCTTTGATATGTGTTTCAGAAGTATTACAGCTGTATGATGTTGTTTGTAAACATGGTTCGGTTCTGAACCATGTTATTACAAACATTAGATCAATTTCACATCGGTTGAAGAAACGCGGAGGCACACCCTTACTATCTATGTTATAATTATATACTATACAGTATATGTTCATATTGTCATGCACATGGTGTTTTCTGTGTTGAGGAGTTGTTTTTAAATCTATTTATCGTAAAGGGGCGGTGGGGTAGCCTGATGGTTAAAGCGTTCGCTGGTCACGCCGAAGACCAGGGTTCGATTCCCCACATGGGTACAATGTGTGAAGCTCATTTCTGGTGTCCCCCGCCGTGATATTGCTGGAATATTGCTAAAAGCGGCGTAAAACCAAACTCACTCACTCACTCACTATTTATAAAAAATGAGGTATTTTGAATTTCAGTTAGCCATTGATGACCACAAAAGGATATTTTGTATTGTGCATTTACCGCCAGCAGTTATAATGAACATGACGTTTCTGGTGATTGTGCATTTGAGGCATTTACGAAAGAAGTGTATATTGTTTTCACATGGATGTTCACAAGAGCAGGACAAAGTACCATATAAGCTCTGAAAAGACTTGCGTTTCGGGATCTACATCGGTCCCTTGGACGAGGATGTAAAATGTTAGCCCTTCGGTTGCCGGTTAAGAAATATAGTGGAGAAGCTGTAATAATTCTTCTGATCATCTCTTTAAAATTTGACAATGGTGTGGTAAATACATCTTGTACTCATTTCGTATACCCCATCTTGTCGTTGTTAATACGTTGGATGGTGCCATGGCATGGAAATACGATTATAAATCATTAACGTTGTTGTATATTGTGCAACGTTTTTCAGATTTTCTACTGAAAAGAAAGTACACACCTGGTTTGGGGGGACTGTTTTCAAAACAAACAACGTGTTTTGATTGTGACTTACATATTCAGTGTGTATGTGCTGTCAAAACACCACCAATCTATATTAAATACATGAAATGTATTAGTATACTGATTAGATGACAAGCGTCCAAGGGTTCACGTTATGCGTATTAAATCTTGACACATAAATGAGTGAGTGAGTGAGTGAGTTGGGTTTTACGCCGCACTCAGCAATATTCCGGTTATATGGCAGCGGTCTACACATAAATGAAGTATTGATTCTGTATATATATGACCAATATAAAGGTTTGGATAAGCTATTATTTAGGGTATACTAGGGCGCTGAATATCGCCGATACATTCTGCATGACGTATAAGCGGTGTTTTTATCCCACAAAGACGGGTGTTGCATGTGGGAAGTGATTTGCTCCTAGGATATAAACATTATAGAATGATAGGGGAGTGGCCTGATCCTTGTGCTCCAGCATCCACTTATGGACATTCGACAAAGCCGCCTTTCGGCGGGGAATTTATTTGTATTCTCTTGAAATATAGAAAATAATAATAATAAATTAAACACTTTGTTCCAAACAAAAAAGAAAGATGACGACAATTATGATGAACTAAAGTGAACGTCGAAGCCGCTGGCCCTTACAGATTATTGTAAAATAGGCCTCTGGTGTTCATGCAGCACTGTTGGGGGATTCGGACGACGTCGTAAACGTCTCGCCATTTCACAATGGTGACAAACAAGGGAATTTTGTGCGCCAGGGTAACACAATACATGTAACAATGTTCTGATTAAGATTGCTATTCATTTCGATCAACATGTGGTCTGCTCATAAAAGCACGAGTGGAAGGTCAACCGAATTTGGTACTCCTATTTGCCTTCTATATTTATAGTGACGTCTCATTCTCATAGGCCTCTGAATGTAGTCAAGATAGCGAATGGATCCGATGTATATCGATCATCATAGAAAAGAATGAATACGATGTCTAAGCGAGGAAGTTGTTATTCCCTTATTGGGACCAACTCAACAGACAATTAGGAACAACTCTCAAAAACAAGTATATAATATCACTATGAGAAGTACTTAAAAACAATTAAAAAATACATGAAATTAACAATTTAGGACAATCACAATCACTACTGACCAAGAGCATTCGTATGGTGTGCTCTCGGATGGTAGTTGAGGGTGGTTGACGGACGGAAGACAAATGTCAGGTGACGTCGGCAGCCATGTTTATTATGGTTGGGGAATAATGGTCGAAATGGTACAAGTTGATGTTAGACACGTGACAGAACGCACATCGGGACCCGCTCCGTCTCTCACACACATGCAGAAGTCGGACGGTGATTCTTCTTCGTAGACGTAGTCGTTGGCGAAGCGACGGCCTTGACCGACGCCACGACTAGCCGTACAATCCGTCCGCTTAGACTGTCGATAATCTGGGCCATCTCCTACGCTGGAGACCGTCTCCTTATCTCGTCTCCCTGGAGACTGTCTCCTTAACTCGTCTCCATGGAGACCGTCTCTCTGACTTATCATATCTGTCAGGTTTTGTAGCAAGGCATATTACGCAATGTGATGAAAGGACGCTGACCTATGCACATGTACACATAATACCCGCCGACGTAGGGAAGAGTTAATTGACATTTACAGATAGCTTTGAGAATCAAGGGTTTTAAGATAAGTTGAGTTGAGTTGAGTTGGGCTTTACGTCACATCGGCATTATTCCAGCCGTGTTGTGGGTCCAAAGTATATGTTTGGTTGCTGGAGAAAAGAACATGCATGCCTTTAAACAGTCTAGTCATCAAAACTCCAAGATACACCATTGCCCCAAGATATAGGTCACTTCATGAACGCTAGCTACACCAGGTGGGACAACCACTAGTTCCGTGGAGCACTTAACAAGAGTCTTTAGACGAAAACAAATCAAGTTTGTCAGCTTCGTGTTTACAAATATTTTATACACGATAAAGGATCATAATGGACACCACATTTGTCATTTTAATGTTACAAAACGTAAAAATATCTAAAGTACGCATACCGTCAGCATTAGAATAGATTTTGTGATTGAAAGACATGAATTTGTAACCTTCTGGAATGCAGATCTGGTTCCGTTCCTAAATTAACTTTGGTATCTCAGTACTACACATGTGCTCAATTAGTCAAAACAGACCAAAACAGATCATTTGTAACCATATACTACGGCAGCGCATTCGTGCCAAAGTCTAACATATACATGGATGATAGTTAGATGTGTATAATATATTATAATCTAGGAGGTATCACGTAGTATCGAATTGTCGACTGATTTCTTCACTTGTGATCATTACCACACAGGGACTTAGCTACCATTATAAAAATGCCCGGGCTTATATACTCTTGCCAGTAATGGTTGTCACCTCTCCCCCCTCCCCCACACCCACACACATCACCCCCACCCCTCTCCAATTAAAAAATTGAAGGGGTGACAACCATTATTGGCATGAGTATACATAAATGTTGCTAAAGATCACCATGAAAGTTTATTAAATGACCATTCAAACTCGGGTGAAAATGAAGTATGCACCCTCCTTTTCTCAATAGTGTGCAACACCCTCCCACCCCCTTTCTCAAAAAGCTGTATCCGCCCCTGAAGGTTGGGCAAACCCTCAATACTATCTAAATTTAAAGCTTTGCAATCTATCGGGCTACGCGCCTGACAGATTTTACGGGCGCATTATATGAAACAATATCGGGATGTGTATACTGTTGACTCAGTTTATACTGTCAGCTACATTGTAACATAGGCCATATGGCCCACATTACTAAATAAAATCTGTCTGTCTGAATTGTTGACTTAGTAACCATATTAATCGACAACAGTTCAAGGTATGTTTTATGTAACCTATGATTCAGTTATTAATGACGTTTGTTGCAACTATATCCAGCTATGGTCCAACCATCGCAACACAATAGC